CGCGGGTGTTTGGTTCACTGCAGATTCGGTAATATCGGCGAGCGGAGGCACGCTACCTCTTTGCGATCGCGGCTCTGGTTGGGGCGACACTGAGGGCTCTGGAGTTGGCAATGAGGACATTTCCGGATGGGACGTGGAAGAAACCCGACTCTTGCGGGGATGAGCCATACTTTTTCTTTTCAGAGTTGCAGCCGCATTCTGTGAAGGGGATTCGGGTTCCTCTTCTTTGGGTACCATAGAGTCGCCTTCCTCGTTTGCATTGCTGATTTGTGAAGCATCCGCTTGCTCTGCTGTTGTCGACCGTCGGGTTTTTCGTACCTTGCGCGCGGTGCTGGGTGTTGTCGCTTCAGTCATTGTCCGTCGTCGCGACGCGCTTTTTGCCGCGCTTCTTTTAGGTGGAACAGGAGTATATTCTTCTTCCTCATCTTTGTCGTCATCGTCGTCATCGTCGCCGTCGCTGCGGTTGGACGCAGTGGGGGTTACATTGCCAGCATCTTCTGACTCGGATGTTTCCTCAATCACGTAACTCTTTCGGGGAGCAGAGCGCCGAGACGGCCTGGCTCTTGCTAGTGAAGATGACATTATGTTGTAAAAATGCAAGTGGTATCAGAAAGCCTCATGAAGGCAAACCACGGGATAATAGCTTGTGATGGAGATGTTTTCGACAAGCGATGGTGGTGGTGGAGGTGGGTTGTTTACCTTTTCACCCGAAACGGAAAGGCGTTGTTTTCTGCCATAACAACATGAAACACATCCATATCATGTGATTTACCGCCTCCACTCTCACCCTTTATTGCCTGTAATTTAGCTGTAAATACCGTTATTCTGAGCTCCAATGTTACACCTCCGCCCAAGTCGCCGATAAGAGCGGAAGACCAACAGTGAGCCAACACTGTCACTGTACTTCATCCTGGTGCGGTCAACATGGGTACTTGGGATGATTTCGACAGCATCTTCTACTTCAATAAGAATTTTACCTACGATGACAAAGTCATTGAACAGATTCTTTCCAACCGTCGCGCGCTAGAGAACCGACTGTTTGCCGACCGACTCTTGGGATTGCTCGGTGTTCAAGCTGGTAGACACTTCTCCCCACAGTTGGAGCACGAGAGAGGCATATACTGACGACGATAATCTGCTAGTAAAACAACTCTACCCTCCGAGATCGAATGCGGACCTTCGTGCGCTCATCAATCACATTGTCTCGTCCGCGCTAGACATTCATCACAAGCAAGCATTGATCTACTACATACTGAAGGACTGTCGTGCAGCGAGCGATGCCGCTTCCCAGTTTGCGCGCCGATGCCACCTGCCAGAGAAGTACAGATTGTTCATTGAGGGTCTCTGGAACCTGGATAGATTAGAATTGAGGGTATGTCCCCGCACACGTCGCACCTACCTCACCATTCTGACGAAGGGGCGCAATTATAGCGAGCGATTGAATACCTGACTGAGCCCTCAATCATTCCCACCTTCCCCGACGAGATTCTTTATGTCCTGACCCTTTCGCAACTCCCAAAGCACGATGACAATCTTGCTATGGCCTATTATCTCACCGTGACCCCGCCGTTGGCGTCCGAGAAGGTACAAAAAGCCTTTTTCGACATACTTTGCCGTTCTAGCATAACAGAAGCGTTCTATTTCACAAGGAAGCGGGACGAGTTCCTTCGCCGCGCTTATCTTGAGCAACTCATCGAATTTGTTCATAAAACCGGTCCTGGTCAAATGCGAAGCCAAAGAGCCATGGAATTGATCAGTCTTCCATTGGACAACAAGGAGGAAGAGTGGTTTGAAGAAGCGCTGCTTCGCGGACGCGCAAAGACACTGCACGGTGCGAAGGATACGGCAATGATGCGACGATTTGCAACAGGGAAATTGGATGCACTCTCTGCAGAACTAGGGTCACTAGGTGGAAAGAAGATCGATGGACTGAACTGGGATGCCCTCAGACAGAGCGTAAAAAATACTCACACATCTGCCCCCAGCGCTGGTGGTCAACCTTAATGGAACAGATCGTCATGAAAAGGACGCTCATGAAAGAAAAAACTATCATGCATGCAAAGGTTGTGGTACAGGAGTTCAGAGTGGATTCGACTTTTTTTCTTTTATCAATAATAGTACGGAGTAGATACAGTGATACCAGAATAGTAGAACCTAGGGCCAGCGATAAGCAAAGTTACGGAATTGAGACAGAATGATTCCTCAGTAGACTGGTGAGGGTGATTGTCAATGACTCCTTAAATTCATCGACTACGGTCATTGTCGAGGGAATAGGTTAAGGTCTAGCTAGTAGTGACTGAGGTGGAATTCATACTCGCTGTTTCTTCTTGGGAAAGACTTCGGGACCGGTGAAATGTATTGTCACCGGAAGTAAATGCTATCTTCCTCTTCAACATAGATCATCCGAACAGAGCTTCCATCTTCATCTTAATCCATCTCTTTCTTGTCAAAAGTCACGATACATATACCATCAAGCGTGATGAATTTGGACTGAGTGATTTGCAGGCCTGAGATTCAATCTACATCCATCAAGGGCACGGTGTCCTACTGGCGTTGCTCTTCCGCGATCACTTGGCGCAATCCGAGAAAAGAAACATCATGGTTGTCTGTACTTTCTTTCAGCAAGGCAGATGTAGATTTGGAGGTATTCAACTGATTTTTACTTTTATTGGAGAAAGCCTTGCTGATCATTGTCACAGAGCGATGCAAATTTGAACATCCCGGCCAGCAAACAGTAGGGTCTGGCAATCGATTTGGAGCCCTCGCTGGCGGAGGAGGTTTCGGAGGTATGCATATTTTTTGATTCCGTTCTGCGCAATGGACAAGCAAGCTGTTGCCATCATGTTTCTGTAATCGGCACGAGCTCTACTGTCATTCTATGGCCTATATCCATCCGATTCTGTTACTATTACTCTCTTCGTCTCTCGATCGAAGTCTATGCTTGCCCATGTTCCTTGTCTTCTTTGTCTACCATTCCATCTACTCGTTTTCTTGGGCTCTGTTCTATGTGCTACTTCCTCTCGCAATGTTCTCGCGTTGTGCTAATGGTAAGCAAAGGTCGTTCTGCGCCTCAAGCCCAGCAACCCATCAAGTAAGTATAAACTCTGCGATCAGCCACGTCAGATCTATCTAATAGTACTCCAGCTATGGTATTACTGCAGACGATATCAAAGTCGACTTGACGGCTGGTAAAGGGCTGCCAGAATGGATATTCTCTGCCTATGGACCCGGCCGAAATGCCCCGAGGCAGCTGTTCGGTGGCCCTCAGCGGGAGCAGAGCTTTGAAGAATTACGATTGCGTCATTACGAAGCTGCTGCATCAGGAAAAGTCGAGGTCGCTGTCCAAGAAGCTCAAGCTTTGTATGCAGAGTCGGTAAAGCAGATGGAGGTTGCTTTGAATGATCTTGATGGCGCTGTTAAATACATCCTCGACGGAATCAACGAACACCCGAATCGGATCGACATTACGGAGGGCAAGACAGGCCCTGCTGCTGGTCAGGGCCCTTCCCCGTTTGGTCAACCGGCTGCCGCGACACAAACATCTGCCTTTGGCCAACCTTCGGCATTAGGTGGCGGCGGTGCCACGGCCTTTGGCAAGCCGGCTGGATTCGCGCAACCATCGGCCTTTGGACAACCCTCTACTCTAGGGCAGACGTCTGGCTTTGGACAACCCAGTGCTTTGGGTCAAGGTTCCGGGTTTGGAAAGCCCTCAGCGCTGAGTGGGCAAGCTGCATTCGGCAAACCTGCATTCGGTCAGCCAAGCTTTGGCCAGCCGGCATTTGGCCAGCCGTCAGCGCCAGGAACAGGGACAGGGACAGGAGCATTCGGTCAGCCAAGTACCACATCTCCGTTTGGTCAGATATCGAGTCAAAATCAGGGCCTGGGCGGCGGGTTCGCTCAGGCTGCTGGAGTAGCGACAACCTCCCCATTTGCACAAGCTGCTGCTGGCCAACAGCCTGCGGCACCAACTGGATTCGGTCAACCTTCGACAACGACACAAACGTCAGCAACGCCCTTTGGGCAGCCCGTACAGGCGCCATCGCCATTCGGTCAGCCTCAAGTGCCGTCAGCTCCTTTTGGCCAACCCGCTGCAGCCCCAAGCCCCCTCGGAGCTGCGGCTCAACAGGCAGCTCCGTCACCTTTTGGTCAACCTGGCGGAGGTTTTGGTCAAGCAGCTCAAGCGGCCCCTGCCGCCGCAACCCCTGCTCCTACAGCGATCGCAGGCACCGGCCCTCCCCCGGCGATCAAGATTGATGATCCAAAAGAGTTGAACCCGATTCCACCTCTAACTGGGCAGACGGTCAAGGACCCCATGACGCAGAGACTATCAATGTGGAAGGGTCAACCGGTGAAGTATATTGACAACATCCCTTGCTATCTTCATCCTCAAGACCGTCAAACCTATGTTCGCATCTTTTTCCCCGATGGACCGCCCGATCAAGCGAGCCTGAGAGATGCGCACGGCAAACCGGAAGAATACACGCCAGAAGTCACCGAGCGTTATGAGTTTTTCCTGAAGAATGGCTACTTCAAAGACGGCGTTATACCCAGCGTGCCTCCAAAATCGGAGTGGGTAAGCTTCGATTTTTGAGCACATGTATTAATGGACCTTTTTATTGTGGAGCGAAGCACATATATGTGCCGTTCATGTACTATATGTTTACCTTAACGATCACACTACACGTTCTTTTGCTATGGGTTTGATGCTCTGAGTTGAACGGCGCTGCTGGTTCATTCGGCTCGGACGCGAAGACTACAGTTTTACTACGTTTGGATGAACTATGAGGATAGTATAATCAATGAAACGGAGAAAACATCTTCGTTTTGCCATTTTTTCCATTTTTGATTCCAGGTTTTAACGGGTATCAACGTTGCCTCGGTAGAAGCCTTCGGGCATGAAGGAAACAATCCGCTCCACGGCCCAACGAGCACAGCGCTAGTGCCATCCCAGTTAAGAGTTGACACCAAACCCTCCCTGATCCCAACTAGGTTGAAATCATCTAGGCGGCAATGGTAACCTCAACCTCAACACCAGCCTCGATGTTGATGATGATCTGCTTGACAGTCTCAGTGGGGGCGAGGAGGCTATTGCACTCGTTAGCGGTCTCATGATCGATCATATGAAAGATGAGCGGGAGGGGGCTTACTCGATGAGACGCTTGTGGATGCGCATCTCGTACTTGTCCCAGGTCTTGGAACCCTCACCGCAAGGGGTCTTACGGGTGGAGATGTGGAGGGTCTTGGTGGGCAGACGGACAGGGCCCTTGACCTGGAGGGACTTGGAGCGGGCACGGTCGATCAGCTCAGAGCACACCTTCTCGAGGGAGGCGACCTTGCGAGAGGTGAGGGTGATACGGATCTTGTGGACCTTCTATAATGGCGGGAAAAGAATCGGTCAGTTATGCGCAATTGTCGCTCGTAGCAAATCGTCTTCATTGAGACATGAATTCAGATATCAAGCAGATTGCAACGTACAGGGCCCTCGCCGAACTCCTTCTCAGGCTTCTGGAAAGACATCTTGCTGATTGTGCGGTGGGTTGACCGGGATTGACTGAGATGGCTGTCGAACACAATTCAATTAGCTCTTGTTCAATGAAAGTCAGACAGAAACGGCAGAAAAATCATACCTATATGAGACTAATTGCCAATCAAGACCTGAACTTCGAGGTTCGGTAAGGTGATGATGGCCGTTGAAGAGCTATCGTGAAATTCGACAGACCTATGAATCCATTTTTTTGATCGTGTCTTTAGCGTCTCTTGTGCGGGCGGATTGTCTTGGCACTCGGCTATCTTGAGCTAGTCCCAGTTGGGAAAGCGACTCAGTATCCGATCCGTCATCATCATCGGAAACCGTATTAGGCCAAGGGGGATTACTTCGACAGGTTATGCGATGAGTCGATGACCGTTGATGATTGTAATGATTAGTTTTGTTATCTTCTTCTTAGTCTGAGCTGTTTCTTCTCTTGTCGCTTATCTTGTCGCACATATTTGAGCCGCAATATCATGGAAAAATTGCCACCTCTTGCACCAGTCCCGCCGCCCACAGTACAGAGGAGCATATCACATGAAGAGTGGGAGTCATTTCTGGATGCATGGATTCTACTCCTAGGGATACGCATCGAAGCTTCCGACTCAGTATTCAAGGAAGTCGTCTCCAAAGATGTGTCCACAAGCGGCTTTTTATCTACCTTCTATCAACAGCTCGCCGCGACAGATGTGCCTGGGCTGCGGACGGGGGCGAAGGCACGAACATTACGGAAGCTCTGTTTCTTGTTGACAAGGAGACTTCTTTTGGACGCGCCTACTTCACCTTCTGAATTGCTAGATTGGAATGTTCTCGGTGCTATGTGCTGTTGTTATCCGTCAAGCTCAGCCTTGAAGAGGTTGTTGTCCGAAGCATGGGATAGACATCATGAGGCAATAACACCCAGTCTCGAGAAAGCAAAGTCCTTAGCTATCAAGCGACTCTCAACACCGAATTCATCAGGAAATTTGGAAGTAATGTCTGACCTCCGCTTGTTGACGATATTGTCTTCTGCACTTCCTCCTTGCGGGCAGGTGCTCATGGCTGGTTCTGACTTCTTAGATACTCTCTCTGATGCGTATCGGTTCGAGAAAAGAGTCGATTCCCGCAAGGTTCTTGTAGCGAATGTCTACGTTGGCTTGACCTCTTTGTTGAAGGGAACCAAGCCGAACTTATCATTGCTTCTGGATCAATTGTTCAGCTTAAAAGCCAGCGCTGGGGTGGGCACTCCCACGACGAAGAGGGAGCCCACGTTACTTTCAGATCTAATCTGCAGCTCAGATTTATTAGCCCGTCTGGAGAGGTACTTGATTGCGCACCCGCAAAAACGGGGTCAAGATCTAGTATCCAGCTTGCATTCGTATCGGAATGAGTCCAAAGCATTCCACCACAGGTATCAAAAGCAAAGGAAGAAGACGGACAAAGGCAAAGGCCGTGTTCCAGATCTTCCTGCTGTCGAGGACATGCATGTCCACAGGATGTCCCTTGTGACACAGGTGCAAGATCTCTTCCCTGATCTGGGCTCAGGGTATATCGTAAGATTGCTCGATCACTACGGCGACAATCCGGAGACGGTCGTCGCACACCTTCTCGATGACTCTCTACCACCTGAACTTCAAGAACTGGATCAATCCGAGCAACTTCCCGTCTCGCAAACGACCTCCTGCCACGACCCTCTCCCCCCACGCCCAACTCCTCCAGAGATTCCATCTCCGCCCGCACCAGCCCCAGCTCGCAAGAACATCTTCGACAACGACGTCGATCTCGCAGAACTAGCCCGCTCAGCCGATCAATTAAGCCAAGGCAAACTGCGCTTCGGTCGCGGAGATCCAGATCTCACCGCAGACGCCATCCTAGCCGACCGCAGCCACCACGCCGTCAACAAAGCAGCTATCATGTCCGCACTGGCAACTTTCGACTCTGACGACGACGAACGCGACGACACATACGACGTCGCCGACGTAGGCGGCACAGTCGACGGCCTAACTGCAGCCACAGACGCCGAAGCAGACTCCGACATCCGCAACCGCAAAGCCGAGGACGTCGACATGACCCTCTTCCAAGCCTACAAGTCCAACCCGGCTCTTTTCGCCCGTGATTCTGCCACGCGCCGCTCACAACCTCGCGCATCGCTCAAGCGCGAAACCGGCATGACCGATGAGGCCATTGAGGGCTGGGGCGTGATGTTGACCCGAGATTCGAAGCGGTTGGCCAGGCTGGAAGATCGATTCGCGATGTCGGCTGGTGGTCCTGGCGGCGCCTTGGCGCAACCTGAACTGCCGTCGACGACGTACAGGAGGCCTGGACCTAGGGAAGATGATGAATCGGATAGTGACACCTATCAGCCCAGTTCTGCTTCTGGCGGCAGAGGAGGTGCCGGACGGGGACGTGGTCGCGGTGGTCGAAGAGGTGGTGGTGGTGGCAGGGCTCGCAGAGGAGGGACTAATACCGGAGCTTCTGGAGAGCAGAACACCGCTGCGGCTCGACAAAGGAAGGAAGAAAACAAGGCTAGCAGGACGAATCACAATAGACGCCAACAGAGAGCCAGAAAGATTGCCCGGGGTGGTGGCATGCCAGGTTGAGCTGTTACGAAAATACGAAAGAGACACTCCACGTTTTGTACATTCTACCATGTGTGTCCCTTGATAGACTGTAGATACGAATGCATAGCATGTCTTAGCGCAAAATATCAATTTAATCATCCATGCTAACCATGAAAAGGAATGGGGCGGAACTGCATGGCGCTCTCTTCAACGGTGCTGGCAATCAAGTGCCAGCACTGATGCCATTGTCTAGCAGCATCAAACACAAGGAAAAGGCATGAATCTCATGAAAAGCTGTTTAACTAAGCCTCGCAAGCATAACCCGCAGGACCAAACCCAAGCTTGAAACAGCCACCAGCGATGAAAAATGTACAATGACGGTGCAATCCAGGAAACCGGACATCGCTTGGGGATGACGAGCTCAACCATGAGCAAAGCGACGGTCGCCTTTTCAGTGATGGTGATCTGAGAAAACGCCCTGCTCGGCGCACGACTTTCTGCATTCTTCAAGAATACGGACTTGCTTCGCGACATCGCCAAGTCTGCTAATCACTTCCTTGTTGCCGTCATAAAACGTGAAAACGGCATAGGGTATACCAGTATCGCGACAGAAGTCGATCACGAGTTGCTGGGTACGACGCAGGTTGTGACGAGGAATGCGAGGGTAGAGGTGGTGAATAGCTTGGAACTGCAGTCCACCATGGAAGAAGTCAAGCCACGTGGGGCAATCGACGTCCATGGTGGTGCGCAGCATCTTTTGAGGAAACGATTCATGGATACCCAAGTCGGCAGTCGACATGGCAAAATGGGACAGCGTGATCTGAACATGCAGCGGAGCAGTGACCATGTGAGAAACCAGGATGAAGGCTATCCGGCTGCTCCAGTCTGGAATAGAGCGGTATAGCACGCCGTAGCCGAACCAATACCAGAAGAATACCTGTCCTCCGATCTCGAACCAGCGATGCCACCAGGCAGGACCCTTCTTTGGGGCTTGGCCGCAAAGCAAGTATTCCCAGCTTAGTCGGTAGAGATTGAATCGACCAAACAAGAGGATGGGATAGTAGAGGTAATTCTGATATCGCAGCATGAAATTCGCCATGGCGTCAAAATGCATGACACGGTCATAGTACGTGCTTCGGAGACTCGTCAAGAAGCGATGTGATATGGCAAAGAAGGGCATGTGCTCAATGTCGGGGTCATGCTCTGGAGCATTGGTGACAATGTGGTGGACATTGTGATTCCGTTTCCACCAGCCCAGGCTCAGGCCGCCCAAATAATCTGCAATGATGATACCAATGACTGAGTCGACATGAAATTGATGAGTGATGCCCATATGGCCAGCATCATGGGCTGTGAAAACGAGTTGGTGCCAGAAGCACCCTAAAAAGAAGGCCGATGGCACATACCACCCTAAGCGAAGAAGGGTATATGACAGGGTAGCGAAAAGAGTATAGCGACAGCATTCTATAAAGTACGAGAAATAGTTGCAATTGAAAAGCCCTTCCGCGCGGATCCGCTCATTCAGTTCGCGGTATTTCCGCTTGATTTCTTCCTGACTCGCCGTGTCGAGGGACGGGTATTTGGCGATATCGAAGACGATCTCCTCCTGAGTTCGTGCATCAAGAAAGAAGGGTTTCGGCTCGAACCCTTCACTGGGAGTGGTTGAGACTGATGTATCCGAGGTCGCTGTCAATTTTCTTCGGCGGCGGACTCCTGGTGCTTTGCCTCCTGCGTCTGCTGCATCAAATACCGGAGAAGGGGGCTGTGAGATATCCTGATCTGTGCTGTCCTCGTCGCTTGAACAAGTCTCGCCTGGATATGGACGGAACTTCCCGCCCTGGATCGGAGGGAGAAAGTTCAACCACGGTCCCTGGATGCGACCGATCTGGAAAGACAACATTCGCTGGCGTGCCTCTGGTGAATGTAACCTATATGAAAGCGAACGTCAGTCGTCAGGTTACGATCCACTTGGATTCATTAATAGACCGTACGCATTGATCTCGTCCGTCGCATCCCGTCCGACCATGTGTTTAATAGACTTGTCTCCTCCAGGGTGAAATTTGATCCACGCATCGACCTTGAGCACTCGATCGTCGAAAACAATGATATGCTTGCCATCGGCGATTTGACCCTCAATCCATCGCCGTGATAAGATTGCGTCCTTCCGCGTCCCGAAGACCGGCGCGAGGGCCGTTTTCTGTGTCTCGGTCATCCCGAGGTTGTCTTAGGCTGGATCGACAGACTCGAGCTCAGGAACAGGTATGAATCTGGACAGACTCCAACATCGTCTTACCCGGGAATTGAAAATGAAAAAGAAAACCAACAAGGATGATCCTGGACATATGAAGCTCCTTAAGTCTGGAGACCTCGGAAACGGCCTGTGTCGCTATGGGGCGGGAAGCGGTGACTGTGGGTTGCTAGAAGTCAGAACAGGCACAAAGCGGGGGCAGGCCGACAGAAGCACATGAAACGTGCTCCATCGCACTGGCGATCATCATCCCATCCATGATCCATCATTCCATTTCAAAGCCACAATCAGCCATCCCACTATCTATTCATCTGACCCGTTCGTCTATGCGTCCTTTCATCATCGTATGATCCACCATGTCCGTTCCTGCGTCTACAATTGAGGTAATCCGGTGGAATCTTCACAGGTAGCTGAAATGTATATCTGATTGCGTATGGTACTGTGTTGTATAGGAACCTCTTTCTTTGCTGGCTCAGAGATGGCTCGACTGGGACCAAGTAAGATGATTTCCCTGCTCGCGAGTAGCTCCAATGATACGACAGAGTTTGCTGATCTCAAAGGCAGAATCCCGAGACACGGGCTGAAATTGAGCAGCTACAGAATGCTGGAGCGACTGCAGAGCTTGAGCTGCGTCTTCGGCAGCGTATGTATATTCTACAATATTAGCTCATTCGTCTCTTGCACCCTCCGCCTTTCTAACCACACAAGTGCAGGCATTCAATTTGGAACAGCCGGCCTTCGTGGTCGGATGGCGGCAGGGTTCTCCTGCATGAACACTCTGACTGTCATCCAGGCATCGCAAGGCTTGGCCAAATACATTAGAGACAAACACTCCGACATTGCATCGAATGGTGTGGTCATTGGCCATGATGCTCGGCACAACTCTGCCAAATTTGCTGCCCTGGCGGCGAACGCTTTCATTGCGATGAAAATACCAGTCTGGTATTATTCAGAGTCCTCTTTGACTCCATCAGTTCCATTTGGTGTGACGCATTTGCAAGCCGCAGCTGGAGTCATGATCACCGCAAGCCATGTATGTTTCCTCCTGGTTTGCGCAGTGACAGAGAGCAAAAGAGATCTGACACAGATGATTTCGTGGACAGAACCCAGCACAAGACAATGGTATGCATTGCCCTCCCTAGATGTCGGTTCTGATTGCTAATTGCGTACAGGTTACAAAGTGTTCGGCTCACGCTTCCCTTGATTTCAGATGGACGACGCTAACTATGGACCAGGTATTTCAAGAATGGTGCACAGATCAATACGCCCATGGACATTGAGATAGCGCAATCGATTGAGAGCAACCTAGAACCGTGGCCGAATGCTTGGAACAGCCTAGAAGCCACACAGTATCTCCATGCGGAAGCTCTTCAGACGATTCTGCCTCGATATACCGAGGCTGTTTGGAATTATGCTGTGAGAATCATGCCACCCTCATTCGAGACGGTTGACTAATAGCGTGCCTAGAAATCCACCGTCCCTAGCTGGTCAAGCCCGCGACCATTCATGTATACTCCTTTGCATGGGGTCGGGGGTCTGATCTTTCCCGAGTTATGCCGCTCGGTTGGAATGACCGACTTCGCCGCTGTAACAGAGCAAGTGGAGCCGAACCCTGATTTCCCAACGGTATCATTCCCAAACCCGGAGGAGAATGGAGCTCTGGACCTGGCGATGCAAACCGCTGATAAAGAGGGCAAGACTCTCATTATTGCTAATGACCCGGATGCAGATCGGTTTGCTGCCGCCGAGAAAGTTGAGTAAGTCAGCATGCAAAGGGCGTTCTTATGTTCCTGGAAATAATCGCTAATGGTCGAGTAGCGGTTCTTGGTTCACATTCACGGGGAACCACCTTGGCGTTCTATTGGCGTCACATCTTTTAGATTCGCTTGAATGTCGAAATGATAAATCACGCATAGCTGTGTTGAACTCCGCGGTCTCTACAGGCATGCTCGAGAAGCTGGCAAGGTCAAAGGGCATTCACTTTGAAGAGACATTGACTGGATTCAAGTGGATGGGAAATATTGCCCGGAGACTGGAAGAGTCAGGGTACCATGTACCTTTTGCTTTCGAGGAAGCCCTGGGGTATATGTTCCCAGACGTGTGCCACGACAAGGACGGTGTCACTGCCGCCATGGTTTTTCTAGCAGCGGAAGCTCGATGGAGATCTCAGGGCCTCACCCCTTATTCGAAACTACAGCAGCTGTTCAAGGATTTCGGGTACTTTGAAACACTCAATAACTACTTCCGATCGCCTAGTCCAGAAGTCACGAAAAGCCTTTTCGGAGCCATCAGGAGCGGGCCTTACCGAACACAGAAATCGCTTGGTTCATTCAAGATCTTGAGGTGGAGAGACATGACGGAAGGTTATGATTCAGGCACAGAGGATCACAAGCCAGCACTTCCAGTTGATAAAAGTAGTCAGATGTTGACCCTATGGCTGGACCGAGATGTTCGGTTCACCATCCGTGGCTCTGGCACAGAACCAAAAGTCAAGGGTAATTTCCACACCAGGAACATCTGTGCAAAGCATTGCTGACTGACTTTCTTAGTCTATATCGAAAGCTGCGGTGCTTCTCATGCGCAGGCTGTGGATGCTGTCTGTGACGCCTTTCGAACTGTTTTGAAAGAGTGGATCCAACCCTTTACTCCTTCGATGAGCTACAGCAAAAAGCTTCCGACATCGTCTGGTCATATTCTCAACATTGATTGAAATAGTGATCTGGATGATTTGCGACAGCTAACCTAGTTCTAAACATACTGCATTTGGCTCATTTGTATGGCCATAGAGCAC